GAATTTTAGTGGACGATACCAGCAATTTCTAAGATCATCCTTAATCATTATCCATACATATTAATTAATATTATTTTTAAATCCTAATCTTAACATGCAAGTAATTGTTTCAAAAGGTCATCAAAACCGTGTCTGCAAATTACGTATTTGAGCAGCTAATGTGTCATCATAGTATCTAACCAATCAAGAAACGCCATAGTAATTTAAACAGTAAAAATAAAGTCATAAATTAAACCAAAATTGGACAAAATCAATACCGACTTGACCCATTGTAATCTCGTTTCCTGGAAAGTTAAGGGCTGGTGACCCACCAAGAAACAGTAGGAAGCAGATCTATACTTCCTCGAAGAACTTATCTATAATTATATATACAGGCGCTGTTGTGCAAAAGCCCATCAGAAACATTCTTAATCGACTCAGTCACTTGTTCTTGTAACCTTTAGAGCTTCAACTTTGAGTTGTCTTTCACCCAAAATGCAGAACCAAGTAAACCAACCTCCTCCAGGTCAATCTCTCTCTCATGTGCACACGCACACGTACACGCTAGCACACCGAGCTTCTTTTAAAGCACAACAGAAGATGTTTTCATGAAAGTCACAAATCTTACCATGAGAGCCCAGAAGGGCAGACAAGCACTAGCGCACCTCCACATGCACAATTATAAAAATATACTATAGTTCTAAACCAAAAATTTACTCGCAGGTTACCCAACTGCGAATCCTCCAGCAGAGAAGAAGAAGTTTTGGTCACGAACTAAGCCAAAAGGAGAGAGGGGCTTCCTCGAGGGATGGTAAGCTTCTTTAATCATATCTTTAAGTCAGATTTACAAGTCTTTATTCATATTTCATTTCGACTAACACCAATTTCGCTTTTACTTATATGTGCAGCCTCTTTGCATTGTGTTGCTGCTGGCTTTGTGAAGTATGCTTTGACTAAATAAAAGAGTTATGATTATATATCAGTAGGATTGAAGCAATATACAGAGCTGTTGATTTTGCGTATTCGATTCACTTCTACTGTACTAGCGTAGTTTGTTTGGTGTTTTTCTATTCACAGTATGTAATTATATATTCTTGTAATTTGTTACTGCCTAAGGTTGATTTTATCAGCTAATTGTCATACTAGCAATAAAATCACATTTTTTTCCTTGTTTACTATAAATTTTCCCCGTTGTCCCTTTTACCATCTTGTTTGAGATAAAATGATAAGTACTATTAACCAGGCTTTGAATTTCACCTGGTTGACAATATCGTCTAATATGTTAAACTATAAGGCAAAATATAATGTGAACAAACATAATACAAGGCACAAACGTAATGACATGGCTTCTTGAATCGTTTTAACAATGTAATGTACCATAGAATTTAATGGGCAACTATATGGATCTTGAAACAGAGATACGAAAAGTGCAAAATATTCATTCTCGAATCAAAATAAGCATACATTAGATTACGCACTAACCAATAACTGATGTTTATTAAACTGTCTCGGAGAAAGGAAAAAGTTTCTCCAGCATATTGTTAGAAAGAATACGGTTGGGATCCAGCTGCTTCCGTGCTCGATTGTATGAATCCACAGGAAATCTCTTCCTTAACCTTACCTGAAGAGCTGCAAGTTCATCTTTGTCCTTTGGAACCTGCAAGCACGTCATATATTGATGAGTTGATGTGATTAACAAAATAGTTCTAGTCCAAATCCATCTTCATGCAGTAGCATAGACAAATTATATCAAAGCCACTATTGGAAAGGCTTCGCATGTTCAATCGACCTATTTTAGTATCTAATCAAATATTTACCAGATTTTGCCCGATAAGCATTGAAGATCATGCTCAAACACCCAATTCTTAACTCAATATTCTGTTACTATGCTAGGACCTATCATCAAAACATCAAAAGAGAAATAAAACTGCCTTTTTTAGCATTAATATGCCTCCGAGTAGAGGGCAATAGATTAAAAGCTTTAGAAATACAAATTCTCAACAAATATCAGAGTATTCAAGCATCCTATACTCATTGTTACAGCTTCTACATCAATTTCTACATAGACCTAAATTTGAGCAGCTGCATACTAAAATGAAATTTATACCTCAATTTTAGCCCAATGCTCGTAAGCTGAATATTTATCCCATAAATTGGTCTGCGTCAAAAGCCTGTAGTGAAAGAAATCTTCTGTAATTTCCTTCCTCTGGCGAGCATCCATTGTAGGAAGATACATAATTATACCGACCTGGTAAATTCAATTCAATGAGATCAATAATCTATATTATGCTATGCCATTAAAAATACAACCAATAAGCATAAGATATAGAAAGGTCACACATAAATTCCTAACCAAGCGACAACCACACTATTTCTATTACGGAACGAACTAGAGAAATATGGTCATTATCATTGAATTTCGTTACATGAAAGGAATGCACATCATGCTCGCCAGATATTAAGAAGCAGACAACATAGAAGTTCCTGATGGAACACAGCAACACATTTACCTTCACTTTTGATAGTTTTAAATCAGCTAATGGCCATATAAGTATTTTGGAAAATCATCAGCGCAGATTAATGATATTTGAAGGATGGAACAATTAGTAAAATGGCAAGTTAAGTGTGATGATGTCAGGTAAGTGTCCAAACGAGTGATTATATATCAACTACTAAAGTTTTAAGCAAAAGAACTCCATTTTAAAAGAGTAAGGGGAGAGCATTAGATATGATAAGATTACCCAAGAGAATATCTCATCCTCTGACGAGCTATAAGCAGGACTCATGAGGCTTTTGCTGCATGCCGTCCATCTCTGCTCGATAGGCGCAGGAGCAGGTATATTTTCATTCTCAATGAGTTGCATCAATTCTTCAATGTACTCCAGGTCTCTCATGCTTGGTTTTGATAGGGTACCAACCGGAAAACAAGTTTCTGAAACCCATTGTTGGCCACCACAATCAAAGCCCAAAATTTCATCACTCCAGCCTACTCTGTATCCCTCGGACTTTCTCCAGAACTCAGCCTCTGCTTGATTGACATTCATCACATGGTCTTTATTGAGAGGATCCAAGTCAAGTAGCTTATCTCTCAGTTCCGTAAATGAAAGTTCATTTATGTTGGAATCATTTTCTCCAGGAATATTAGCTGTAACTGCTTCTTTCCTGATGATAATAAATCGTCTGAAAAATAAGCAAGAGATATATACGGAAGATAATGTAACTTAAACTTTTTAGCTTTTCACCATTTTCTAGTCTATCTCGTTTTCTTAATTCGTCTGCATATGTCATAAAGGCTAACAAATATGATAAGCAGAGATGAAGCATATAAAAACAGAAGAGTCGGACTAGATTTTCCATGTTTTCATCCCAAAAGATTAAGTAGATCAACTTTTCACTAGCTTATCATTGCAAGATTTATTCAATAGGTCACATAAGATACCAATTACAAAGCAATGAAATATAATCATTTTACCTGTACTTCTTTAGTGAAACATGACAGAGATCCCTGACATGCTGCATAGCTTCTTCTTGAGTATATTTCGGTTTGAACTTTGGTGGACCTTTCCATTTTGAAAGAGGATTACATGTCACAACCACGACTGTGTCAGTGTATGGAATGTACAAGTACTTTACGTGTTTGTTCTCAGAAAGAAGTTTTCTGCAATTAAAAAAATGAATCAACCTACAGATTGACTTTTAAATGTTTCAACTAACAGAAATATAAACTATATTAAACCTATCTCAACCATTGTTGATGGTGCCATGATAAATATATAAATCACAAGACGAAAGAAGAAATCTGTATGTCATTTAGTCATGAATGATGTCAACTGAATGTAGTAGAAGGTTCATCACGTAATTCATTACAAAACAAAAATCCCGAAAGAAACCATATTTTACTTTCACTTCAACATCTGTTATATGAGCTTGTTAAGATTTGGGGGCCATCTTAAAAGGTCAACCTTGTTAAGAGGAGTAGCTCAAAATCTTTATTAATTGGTCTGTGTCAACATCATTTATCGATGTGGGATATATCTCCCTTAACACGCTTCCGCAAGATGGTGGCTCATTTGAGCAGACCGATCTTGAAATCCACGTGCTCATTTTTAGAGTCTTAACGAGATCGAATCGCTCGTTGGAGCATAATGGGCTCTGATACCATGTTAAGAATTGAGTTCCATCTTAAAAGGTTAACCTTATTAAGAGGAGTAACTCAAAACTTTATAAATTGGTATATGTTTATATCTTTATTCGATGTGGAACTCCAATTCTTAACATGGTATCAGAGCTCATTAAGCTCTAACGAGCAATTCAATTCGATTAAGACTCCAAAAAGTGAGCATACGAATTTCAAGTTTGGTTTGCTCAAAACGAGCCATCATCTTGCGGGTGTTGGGAATTTACTTAACATGCACAGCGGAAATTAAACAATTTTCAATTCCCAAACGAGGATCTGCAATGTGTTTAGATAGAAACTGTGATGAGAATGATACCTTTGATGAATTCCACAAACTCTTTTGCTTTTTCTTGAACTCCAATGATCACGATCTGCAATCCAAGCTGNAAATGTGTGCTCTACGAGCTCCAGCTTCTCGACACATTGCAGCGTAACTTCTGCAACTACACCAAGTCCTCCAAGACCACAGCGAGCCAGATAAAAGAGTTCTGGATTTTTCTCTTTAGAAACCTCGATAGTACCCTTAGCAGGAGTAACTAATTTCATGCTGATGACCTGCTCATCAATAGGAGGTAACTTTGCACCAGTTCCATGGGCGCCAACCTGAAGATTTGCAATACAGATGATCCAAGGACATTAAAGATGCCTTAAGAAATTTAAATCTAGAACGTCACTGGTAACTTCAGAAAGATACAAATGCCCCCATATGTTAAAAACTTAAAAGATGTCCTTGACTAATTACATGTTACCAAAACCATTAGCCATATAAGTAAATTATATCTTCCTTTCTTATTCATCCTTCTCCACAACCTCCCAAGACAAGTTACGGGGGAAAAAAAACACTAGAATAGCAGACAAGCTTTTTAGGTAACCTGCGAAGGATGCATTAAACGAAACAACAATCACCTACATATTTTAACTAAATCGTGTCATACGAACATCAGTACAAGTTGAAGTACAACCATTTTATATATATCAAAACAAAAAACAACCACCTCCTCCTTAATTCAATTTTAACATCTACCTGAATACTGACACAAAATACATGCGAAACGCAAAATATTTATTTATACATAAGCAGAATATAGGCAATCCTTGAGGCAACAACCAATCCCATCTCCACCTACATTCTTGATTGGAAGTAGACTAAGAAAGCAACAATACAACTAGAAGCAAGAATAATTAAAAAATCATATAAATCCAAAGATTTTCTGGGAAAATTCACCTGAACTATACCACCGATCTGCTGCTCCCTAATAGACGCAAAATTTTGCAATGTCAGCCCATACTCTTTAATCCCATCCACAAGCTGCTGGACCCTAATCCCTGCCTGCACTCTCACCCTTTTCTTTTCTTTGTCCACCTCCAGAATCTTATCCATTAAAGCCAAATTGACCATCCCTGCCCGCGTCAGCCCAATCCCATTTGGGGACAAACCCGATCCCACAGGCCTTATCTTCTGCTTATTTTGGTTACAATCTTTAACTATAGATTCAAGCTCTCGGAGGGTTTCAGGTTGGATGAAGGTACGCGTTTGGACTTCATGGGTACCACTCCAATTAGAGACAGTATGCAGGTCGGGGGGAAGCGGGGCGTAGCGGAAGAGCTGGGCCTTCTTGTGCTTAGCATCTTCGGGGAAGGGGAAGGAGTAGTAGGTAGCAGCACCGCAGCCAAGGAGGAGGAGGGCGTAGCCCAGGTATTTACGAAGCTCCGCATCGCCGGAGGAGGAGGCTGGCGGTGGCGTGGAGAGTGAGGATAATTGGCGGTGGACGCCGGTGGAGATATCGGCGGGAGGTTTAAGGGGGCGGAT